AAATATATGGAAACTATTTAGGTTGAAATCTGCAAGTAGCTGATTTAAAAAGGTAAAAAAAAAAATGTGCCTAGTGATGTGGCCTAGCCGCTAAAGTCCTCACCTTGAACGCACCGGGATCCCATAAGAGTGCCAGTTCTAATCCTGGCAGCCCCACTTCCCATTCAGCTCCCTGCCTGTGGCTTGGGAAAGCAGTCAAGAACGGCCCAAAACCTTAGGACCCTGCACCCGTGTGGGAGACCCAGAAATTCCTGGTTCCTAGCTACGGATCAGTTCAGCTCTGGCCATTGCAGTCACTTGGGTAGTGAATCATTAGACGAAAAATCTTCCTCTCTGTCTCTCCTCCTCTCTGTATAACTGATTTTACAATAAAGAAAAAAAAAAAGTAAATCTTTTTTTAAAAAAAAAGGTAAAAAAGAAACCAGCAAAATGCGTGTTTAGTCATAATCCAGCTACCCCAGCTGTGTCTTTAACTTGTAATTAACTAAAAGTTACTGCAGGAAAACTTTATATGGTTCCCAGACCACATCTTTGAAATACGTGTATGCCATACCCGCAGGACAACTCATCTGAGCAGCCACATTTCAAGTACCAGTTCCCACATGTGGTCAGGGACAGCAATGCTAGACAGTTCAGGTTTAAAAGGAAGGGGCCTGAAACCCATTCCTTCCCTCTCTCCACTGCATCCTCCGCCTCCTCTGTTCAAACAGTTTAATCCTAGCTTTACTCTGTCCTTGTCACAAAAGGAAACACTGATCACCTCCCACATCCTTGCTGAAGCTCTCCCTCCAGCATGAAATGCCCCTTCTCTCTAAACTTAATATCCAGCTCAAGTGCAACCCCACTCAACAAACCATACTCCCTTCTCTGTACTTTCCTATCATCTTGCAACTCTATAACAACTGTATTTTTTTTTAATCTTGTGCCCACAGATTGCAAAGTCCTTAAAAGACACAGAATTGGCTCTCAAGAAATACAGCACAGTGTTTAGTAACCAGCAGGCCCTTGATAAGCCTCTGAAAAAAATGAGTTTCAAATTACCAGTCTTACAATAGGCAAGTGTACATTTAACAGGAGGGCATACCTAAGGAGCAGCTGGTTCCAAAGTAAGCAAAGCTACTGCTTAATTAATACCTACCAGCAACACAAGAATAGAACATGTGGGAGCATCCCCACCCTGTCATGCAGTGACACTAACTCACACTCCATCCAGAATTCTAGAAAATACCACAGATCAGAAACATAATTTTTATGCACGAAGACTGAAGCTTGGACCCCTGGGCATTCTAAACAGTTCCATGAGCAATATTCCTAATAAACAATGTGCAGTTTAACTATTGAAAGTAACCTGTTCTGATGACATGCTGGAAATGGAAATTCCCAGATGAAATGCCTTTCTCAGAATAAGAAAACACTTAAGTATAAACCAGGAAACTCACAGTCCTGTCTTGTCATGTCTTATGCTCCTATACCAAACATCTGACCGTCTCTATTTGTAAAATGAGAGCAAAGATAATATCTATTTACTACAGCAATACTTTTTCCTGTGCTGTCTGCCTTTCCCATGCTTGCCACAGCATACCCTCTACAAAGCTTTGTGAGTGATCCTTTAACAAGGCATTTGGCTTATGCTACTTCTCTGGGGCAAGTCACTAATGGCATCTGCCACCCACAACTTCCCTATGGCTTAGAAAACCCTCCACAATCTGGCCTCCTGCTACCTCCGGGACTCATCCCAACCCCTCTGCCCTCATTACTGAACACATCGCTTTTTCTGAAACAAGTAAAAAGCACAGACTGCCTCAGGGCCTTTGTCTGTGCTCCCTATGCCTGCTAAATTCCCCTCCCCATCCTATCCAGCCCTCCATAGTCTGCTTAATCTGTTTAATCTGCTTAATTACCAGCCTACGAAGTGGACATAACTTCACACACCTTCCTTCACATAGAAGACACTCTACTGACCCTGCAAGGACTCATTTTCATTCTTAGCAGTACAGAAAGAAGGACCCAGATCGCACAATGGCTGCAATGGCCAAGCTGGGCCAATTCAAAATCAGGAACCAAAAGTTTCCTCAGGCCTCCTAAGTGGGTACAGGGGCCTAAGGACTTCAGCCACCCTCTGCTGCTGCCTTCCCAGGCAATAAACAGGGAGCTTGACAGGGGAAATGGAGCAACTAGGACATGAGCCTGTACTCACTGGCACCACAGAGAATTCATCTTAACTACCAGGGACACAGGCCAGCAAAGCAGGATCTGCTCTGTTTTGTTTGCTGTTGTATCCTCACTGCATAGAACAATGTGTGAAATATCAAAGACACTTAAATATTTACTGACCAAGTAAGTGGGTGAGTATTAGTTTTGTATTTTCAAGGAAGTAGTTGAAGGGGACTCAACCCTTCACTTTTTCAAACATTTTAGAATATCTTCTCTTGGACCTGCTGTGTCATCTCTTCTTCTGGCCTTGTTTCCCCCTTGAAAAATGGCTTATCACAACAGGAATGGTGGGGCACATGGCAGAGTGGTTAAAATGCTGCTTGGGACACCCACACCCCTTCTTGGAGTCTCTGGATTCAAATCCTGGCTCTGTTCCCAATGCCAGCTTCCTGCTAATTCAGACCCTAGGAGGCAGCAGAGGCTCAGGTTGGTTTTTGTTTTTACTTTTATTTTTGAGACTTAATTTTTTTAATGTATTTGAAAAGTAGAGTCACTGAGAAAGAGGAAGAAGCACAAACAGATTTTCCATCTATTGGTTCACTCCCCAAATGACCACAACAACTGGGGCTGGGTCAGACTGAAGCCAGGAGCTTCACCTAAGTTTCCCACATGGGCGGCAGCGGCCCAAGCATTTGGGGGCATCTTCTGCAGGTACCAGGCCCATTAACAGGGAACTGGACTGAAAGTAGAACAGCCAGGACTGGAACTGGTGACCGTGTGAAACGCTGGCACCTGCAGGCAATGGCTTAACTTGCTGTGCCACAACTCTAGACACAAGGCTTAAGTTTTTTAAGAGGAATAAACTGGACAGGAAATACAGGAAACTTCCTAGTATAATAAAGCTCTTCCTATTGAGAAGCAGAAGAAAAGAAATGATGAAACTTTTACAAAAGGAACATAATGAGAGATAAAAGAAAAAAAAAATAAACCCCTATTGATTTTCCTCCAGTGTATTATGAAAAGGATATGGTGTAAGGGGTCCCCCTGCAAGACCCCCTTACCTCAGACTTTATTTCCTGAACTGCCTTGGTAATTTATGTAGCAGTTTCTCCCCCTCTTCCGTCCTCAGCAGTGATTCCAGAACAGGATGTGGCTCATAAATCCCCTTCGGGTTCCTACCACCTACTGACCGGCGTATTTTTACAACAGCTGCTATTTCCCAAACTCCCTTAGTGTAGCCACATCTGTAAGGTCAGAAGGGTTTTCTGCCCGAGATCTCCAACCATCCTAAGCACTACACATGGGCAAGAAGTCTGACTTCTGCCATCTTGGGTACAGAGGGTGTATCACCACCCTAAAAAAGACATCTGAAATCTACAGAAACAAGGATTAAGCAAACCACTAGGATAACACTGCCATTCCTAGATGGCAGAGGCCAATTTTCATTCTTTGTAAAATTTATACTATCTATTTTGGGCCCAGCGCAGTCGCCTAGTGGCTAAAGTCCTTGCCTTGCATGCACCAGGATCCCATATGGGCGCTGGTTCTAATCCCGGCAGCTCCACTTCCCATCCAGCTCCCTGCCGGTGGCCAGGGAAACCAGTCAAGGACAGTCCAAAGCCTTGGGACCCTGCACCTGTGCGGGAGACCTGGAGGAAGTTCCTGGATCCTGGTTTTGGATTGGCTCAGCCCCAACTGTTGCGGTCACTTGGGGAGTGAATCACTGGACAGAAGATCTTCCTCTCTGTCTCTCCTCCTCTTTGTATATCTAACTTTGCAATAAAAATAAATCTTTAAAAATTTTTTATATTATTTATTGATTATCCATTATATCTAGGTAGAATGCCAGCACTTGGAGACACAAACATAGCAGAATCTTGCAAGGCAGCCAGACAAAAAATTATAAAAGTACACTCTGTAATAAAAGGTTGCATGTTTTGTGCCCAGTGTGGTTTCATGCTGAATCAATGTGTATCTCGCACCAGGAGCTGTCCCCCAATAAACTCCAGCTTACATGACTAGTTGTGCCCTTGCTGTTACCATGTGTCAGGACTTTCATGGGCATCTCAAACCTCAGGAACCCAAAAAAGAATTCTCGGCAACAAATACAAATGATTATGAACTGTTCTTCACTGTTCTCTTTTATATATAAGACCCTTCAACAAATCCTTCTCTTTCTTACTTGTCTAACATGACCTACATCCCATCCAGTTCTGTCCTACTTCCCATAGATTAGTTAATATGTCCCTGGCTGCTCTGTTTCCACTTTATTCCACCACGCATCATTCTCTGTTCGACAAGTGACTATTTAAAATCATCAGGGAACAACCACTGTAGCACAGTGGGTTAAGCTGCTACCTGGATATCCATATCTTATATCAAGGCATCTGGCTCAAGTCATAGATCCTATGATTCCAATACAGCTTCCTGCTAATGCATCCTGGGAGCAGTGGATGAGGGCCCAACCACCTGAGCCTCTGTCACCCACAAGAGACCCAGAGTTCCCAACTCCTAGATTCCACCTGGCCAAATCCTGTCTGTTGCAGGCAACGGGGGATTGCACCAGCTGATGAAAAATGTCTGTTTCTCTCTGCCTTTCAAACAGCAAAAAGTAGATGTTTAAATAAAAAATCAAATCATATCAAACCACTAAACTGACTCAACTCATTGATGGCTTCCCATTTTTCCTGAATATGAAGCCCATTTTCTTACTGGGGACCACCAGACTACTTCCTAATTCTGTACTACACTGAATTTCATTCAGTTCCTCAGAAGAGCTCTGTGTTTGGGGGTTTTGGTTTTTTTTTGGGTCCAACTTTTCACCAGTATGATTACTTTTTTCTGGAACACATCTCTTTCTCCCATCCCATTTCTAAACATGTCTCAATTTTCTACCTAGCTACCTCTTCCTCCAATAGTCTTCTGTGCATTACTTGAGAAAATATTTTCAAGCCACTTATTCGACAAAGGATTATGCAACTCAAGCAACTCTAGAGCCAAAAACAAAACAAATCTCTACAATCTTAATGGGGACAACAATCCTATATACATTTTCCCAAAAAGGACACAAATGACTGACACATACGTTAAAAATGCCCAATATCACTAGTCTATAGGGAAATGTACACCAAAACCACAATGGGATATCATCTCAACCCAATTAAAATGGGTAATGTCAACAAGACAAAAAAATAACAAGTGCTGCCAAGGATAGAATAAAATGGAAACTCTAAAACACAGCCATTATTGAAAGTTCCTCTAAAACTAAAGACAGCACTACCATAGGATCCTGTAATCCCATTACTGGATATATATTTAAGGAAATTAAATCAGATTCCTGCATTCTCATGTTTACTGCAATGCATTCCACTGCAGGCATGGTACAGAATTAAGGCGTCTACAATGAATGTAACAGATTTAAAAAAAAAATGAGATACACACATCAGAATTTTATTCAGCCATGAAAGAAGAGAAGTGCTATCATTTGTAGCAAAGCACATGAACTGGACATGATATTAAGTAGAATAACCTGGGCTCAGAAAGACAAACATCAAATGTTTGTAGCAGCTAAAAAGTTGATCTCTCAAAAGAAAAGGCCAATGGTCACTGGAGGCAGGTACATGAACAGGGATAGAGGATACAGAGAGATTAGAAAAAACAAAACAGATGAAGAATTATATATAGTGTTCTGTACTATAGCACACACAGTACCTAACTGCCATAAGCAATTTATTAAAGAAAAATAGAAGAGGACAGGAAACACAGTCAAGGAGATATTAGTACTAATTACCTTGATTTAACCATTACGTGTTGTATACATTATTGCATTCAGTTGTATCAAATTATTATAATATATACACATCATTAATACAAGCAGTTGCACAGACTTTGTGAAGAAACAGACGTTTGGCACAGTAGTTGACACCAACTGGGACATCTCACAACCCAGTTCAAGCCAGGGCTTCACTTTCAAATCCAGCTTCCTGTAAAGGTGCACTCTAGATGGCAGCAGATGATGGATCCCTACAACCTACAAGGAAACCTGCATTGAGTTCTGCGTTCCTAGCTTCGGTCTGACTCAGCCCCGGATTTTGAGGAGTGCAGAGTGAACCAGAAATAGAAGAAACAAAGATAATTTTTCCCTCCTTTCCAAAAAAGAAAAAGTTTATGGAAAAACAAAATTAAAAGATAGTTATTTTCCATGAACCTGTGAAACTTCTTGTATTTACATTATTATGTGTCATTTAAATTATTTTAAATATGTTCTTGATTTTCATTATATTTAAAAGGCAAAGAAACAGAGACTAACTAATCTAGGCTTATTCCCCAGATGCCTTCAACAGCCAAAGCTGGGAAAAGCTGAAGTCAGGAGCTTAGAGTTCAATATGTCCCCAGTTACAGGTACCCAAGGACTTGATCCACAACCTGCTGCCTCCCAGACTGCACATCAGCAGAAAGCTAGAATTTGAAACAGATTTGTGACTCAAATCCAAGGATTTGATATGGGATGGGAGCATCCTAAGCAGTCTTAACTGCTGTGCCAAGTGTCTACCTGTGAACATGAACATGTTTAAAGCCCATTAGCCTAACGATAATTACCAACATCTCCTTTCTAAAGGGGCAGTTAGCCTGGCAGTTAAGTATCTCATGTCACATTTCAAAGCACCTGGGTGCAATCCTTAGATCTGGTTCAAATCTCCAGCCTCCTGCTAATACAGGACCTAGGATGCAGTGGTGATAGCGCATGTAATTGAACTTCTCTTTTTTATTTCAAATATTGATTCGACAGGTGTAACACAGAGAGACAGAGTTCCCATCTGCTACTTCACTTCACAAACGCATGCAATAGCCAGGGATGAGATAGGCCAAAGCCAGGGACCTGAACTCAGTCCAGCACTCCTACATGGTTGGCAAAGACTCCAGCATATGAGCCATCACTGCTGCCTCTCAGGAACTGCATTAGCAGGAAGTTGCAATCAGTGAACAAAGGCAGGCACCAAACCCAAGTGATGTGGGATGCGGGCCGGCATCTTGGCTGCAATGCCAAAATGCCTGCTCCAAGCAACTGGGTTCCCACAACCCACAGAGAAGATCTGGATTGCATTCTCAGCGCCCACTTTAGCCCCTGGCCCAAGACCACACTTTGTGGGCTTCTGGGGAGTAAACCAACACATAAATATTCCCATCTCTCTGTTGCTCAAGTAAGTAAAATTGTAACAAAACATATTTCCTTTTATGTGCACCACCATGGAGCAATTGTCTTCAAAGCGTAGATATTATTCCCATTTTTTAAGTTACACTGCTTCTTTACAAGCTTCAAATGTCACATAAGGGGGAAAACTGTCCCCCTGGGCTTTCCTCTTCTTTGCTTCTGGATTAGTAAGAGAAAAAATTTAGCAAGTGTGTGTATAAACTGTACCCTACCCCAGGCCAAATACTCTGGTTAAAGCAGACAAATATGACCCAGTGAGACGACACTGATGAACACCCTGAAGAGTAAAATTCAGGTAGTGTTTAGGTTCCACTGGCAAATCGCATCTTAGCCTTTTGGCTAGATTCAAGTGTAGGCTCCACTGGCTAGCAGTCCTGCCTAAACATTAGAGCGATTTGTTTTTTTAAAATTCAGTTAAGGAGTCTGGCACAATACCTAGCAGCTAAAGTCCTCTCCTTGCATGCACAGGCATCCCATATGGGCGTCAGTTCTAATCCCAGCAGCCCTGCTTGCCATCCAGCTCCCTGCCTGTGGCCTAGGAAAGCAATGAAGGACGGCCCTGAGCCTTAGAGCCCTGTGCCTGTGTGGGAAATCCTGAGGAGGCTCCTGGCTTCAGATCGGTGCAGCTCCAGCCACTGCAGCCACTTGGGGGGGTAAATCGGCAGACAGATGATCTTCCTCTCTCTCCTCCTCCTATCAGATTTTCCAATAAAAATGAATAAATTTTTTTAAGTCAAAGTTAACTGGATCAGAAGCAGAAGTGAAACTCAAACCAGGCCAGTTTTGATACGGGATGCAACTGTCCTAAGCAGAAGCTTAATCTGCTATAGCACAACACTGATCCCAGTTACCTAACACTTTACAGTACCACTTGTTAATAATGTACGATGCACAGCAATAACAAAGGCCAACCTTGGAGCAGGAGGTAAGGAGTGAACCAGTGTTTAGAAACTTTCTTGTCTGTCTGCACGTCCCCCATCATTGCTGCCTTGCAAATAAATATCTTAAAAAAAAAACAAAAAACCCTCTCATAATCACCTGAGCCAACAGTTGGCAGAGGTCATGCGATTGAGCAATTTGCAGGCATTGCCAGATCCTGGATGCTTCAGAAGGATCTCCCTGGACAAAAACTCTCCCTAACCAGTACTGACAAATGGAGTCCAGATTTGCACGTTGCTCCAGTGTTTTAAGAACATCACAAAGTTCAAAGTCTCTAGACCCTAACTAAATAGAACAGCAATGAAATTAATATTAAACACCAACTCCATGCTGCACATTCTTCAGGCTTTTAAAAATAAATACATGTAATCCTCATCATTATTATTTTACAGTTTGAGAGGACAAAAGTTTGGAGATATTAATAAATTGGGTGGCATTTACAGATCCAATGGTGCTACAGTTCAAATTCTGGTCTAATTTTTGAAGCAAACTCTCTTGCCCTTGAACTTGGTTAGCCTGCCTCTACAGGTGAAAATTAAGCTGTGGGTTCCAGTACAACTGTTCTCATTAGTCACTTCTCCAGGTGAGGACAGAAAAAAAGAAAAATAACCACTACATCAAGAACTGTTCTGGGCCCGGCACGGAGGCCTAGCAGCTAAAGTCCTTGCCTTGCATGTGCCAGGATTCCATATGGGTGCCAGTTCTGGTCCCGGCAGCTCCACTTCCCATCCAGCTCCCTGCTTGTGGCCTGGGAAAGCAGTTGAGGATGACCCAAAGCCTTGGGACCCTGCACCCATGTGGGAGACCTAGAGGAAGTTCCTGGCTCCTGGCTTCAGATTGGCATAGCACCGGCTGTTGCAGTCACTTGAGGAGTAAATCCCTGGACAGAAGATCTTTCTCTCCATTTCTCCTCCTCTCTATGTATCTGCCTTTCCAACAAAAATAAATAATAAATCTTTAAAAAAAAAAAAAACTGGGGCCCGGCGCGGTGGCGCAAGTGGTTAAGGTCCTCGCCTTGCACGCCCGGGATCCCATATGGGCGCTGGTTCTAATCCCGGCAGCCCCGCTTCCCTTCCAGCTCCCTGCCTGTGGCCTGGGAAAGCAGTCGAGGACAGCCCAAAGCTTTGGGAACCTGCACCCGCGTGGGAGACCCGGAAGAGGCTCCTGGCTTCGGATTGGCATAGTATCGGCCCGTTGCGCTCACTTGGGGAGTGAATCATCGGACGGAAGATCTTCCTCTCTGTCTCTCCTCTCTGTATATCCACCTTTCCAATGAAAAAATAATAAAAATAAATCTTTAAAAAAAAATAAATTAATTAAAAAAAAAAAACTGTTCCAAAGATGCTCCCATCTTCACATACTCCCTCTTTGGCAGTATCCTTCGAAAGCTATTGAGGAACACATCCTTTTAAATACATTGTTTAGATAAGTATGATACTTGTATATTCACCACTCTCATCTCTGAAATACTCCCTCTTACTTGAAAGTCAGCACTTCCACTTTCAGATGAACGGCAATTTCATATCTCAGTCATCAAGTGCTCACTAGGGGAAAGTCAGTCTCTGCCGGATGTTGAAAGATAATCTAAAATGAGAACTGCTACAACCCCTAACCGTCGAGAGGCTGATTTACTAACAGAGCCGTCACCTGACATCTGTGCAGTGCCGTGCAGACCACAAAGTGCTCGCTAAGACAGCACACATCATC